GACCCATGCCTTTGTGAGTTCCGGCGGGATAGCAGACCCATGCCTTTGTGAGTTCCGGTGGGATAGCAGACCCATGCCTTTGTGAGTTCCGGCGGCGGGATAGCAGACCCATGCCTTTGTGAGTTCTGGCGGGATAGCAGACCCATGCCCTTGTGAGTCCGGCGATCCCGGAGCTCAGGTGGTCAGACCAGCACTGCAAGCCTCTGCCCACTGACATCTCCCGGCCTTGGCAATGCCTAGACTTGCGATGCTGTTGCTTCTGCCATCCTCTGCCGGACGCCAACCATGACAGTGTGGGAGAGCACTGCGCAGTCTAATTGCCAGGAGGCAAGATCATTCAGAAGGTTCTTGCTGGCTGAAAACCACAGTACAGAAGCATAAATTCAGCCTGAGAGATGGCTTGTCTGGTAAAAGCACCTGCCATTCAAGTCTGACCAACTGAATTTGATCCCCAGATCCTTTGGGAAATGAGAGACTACTGAAAGTTGTCCACTGACCTCCACGTGCATACACACACACACACACACACACACACACACACACACACAATCTTTCAAAATAAATCATATAAAAGTAACATAGCAACTTCAGCTTAATTTTAGTTTAGTTTTATCAAAACAAGGTCTCAATGTGTAGCCTGGCTGGCCTGGAACTCACTATATAAACTTGACTAGTCTCCAACTTACAGAGATCCACCTGCCTCTGCCTCCCTCCTGGGTGTTGGGGTTAACATGGTACACACCACATGCTTGCTACTTTAATTTTAAATGAGTAAATGTATATTCTTTGGCAGGTCTTTTGTTATAGCTTCAAGACTATTGGAGCATTGGTCCACACTGTTCCAAGGTGAATTTGTTGCATAAGCTACACTCCCTTTCAGTCATCACTTGGAGTTTCAGAAATATGTATATGTATGTATATGTATATATATGCATATCTCAGGGTCTCACATATGCTAAGCATGTGCTCTACCAATGTGCATCCTGCACCCTACAGTCTCTAACTTTCTTTTTTGACAAGGTGTCACTATTTAGCCCAGGCTAGCCTGGAACACACTATGAAGACCAAGCTTTAGGTGTCTGATGGCCTCTGTCTCCCCACTTCACGTGCCCCCATACCCAGCGTATCTTGTTTGTTGTCACTTTTGAAACTATATTTTAATTATAACATCTCTCCCTCCCCTATTCCCCTGCAAGCTGTCCTGTATGCACCTTCCGGTTCCTTCACCCACGCAAGCTCCTTGTTTTTCCTAGCACTTCCTAGGTAGGACCCCTCTGTGGACTAACTCTTCTGCAGATATTCACATCTGAAATTCTTTGCATGGCTCACTGCCTCCTGTGGTGACGTGGCTCTCTTCATTCATATGAACTGTGTGGTGAGAGGAGGTAGGAGGACCTTTAAGGCCTTCGGAAAGGAGTTGCTGGGGCTGAGGAGTGAGCGCAGTCAGAAAAATGTTCCATGACCAATCCTCAGTACCTACCCATAAGAATGTCAGGCATGGCAGTGCTCACTTGGGGAAGGGGAGACGGCGGTCCTGGAGCTGGATGCTCAGCCAGTCAAACGTAATTGGTGAGTTCCAGGCCAGTGAGACCCTGTCTCAAAAAAGAAGTGGATGGTTTTCCTAAGATAAAACACCTGAGGTGGTTCTCTGACCTCCTTGTGCACACATATACCAACACATACATGCATGAACACCACACACATACAAAAAAATTAAATAAAAAAATTTTAAAAATTAAGTTGGGGTCTAGAGAGGTCGTTACTGGCTCTCCTACACTACGCTTTCCTGTCTCCATGAGTGATCTCTCCTACAAATTCTGTGCCAGTGTGCCATCTGAAATAATGTCCACATCAGACTCAAGCTGACCCCAGCATCCTCGGATATTTTGTTACAGTGACAGAATACACACATAAGTGCCTCGCTTTCCTTGAGACTTCTCTCAGGAGACGTTGTGTAGCCCATAGAGTTATGACATGCACCCAGCCAGTTCCTTCTTCCCCGTGGAGCAGGCTAAGTGCTACTGTAGTTCACTAGTGTGCTTATCTCCTCCTTGCATGGGAATCTGCCCCTTGAGAACAGGAGTTTTGTCAATTGATGTTGGATGAATGACAAAACGCTGGGAGAATGACGTGGCAGCCTTTGCTGCTGTGCCACGGGCTCCTCTCCTACCCTGACCAAAGCAGTCCTAGGGAGAAAGGCTTTATTTGGCTCACGGTTCCAGGTTCCAGTCCATCATTTTGGGGTAGTCATAGTCATATCTACAGCTGAGTGCAGAGAAAGTTGGGGCATGGCAGCTGTGGTGACACACCTTTAATCCTAGCAGAGGCCAACCTGGGCTACATATCCAGTTCCAGGCCAGCTAAGGTCCCACAGTGAGACCCTGTCTTTTAAAAAAGACAAAAAGGGCTAGAGAAATAAGAGAAATGACTCTGTGGTTAAGAGCTCTGACTGGCTGCTCTCCCAGAGAACCCAGGTTCAATTCCCAGCACCCACATGGCAGTTCACAACTGTCTATAACTCTAAGAGCTGACATCCTCACACAGACATACATGCAGACAAAACACCAATGCACATAAAGACAATTTTTTTAAGTCAGAGAGAGTGAATGTATGTATGCTTACTCAAACCCCGGACATAATGCCCCCCACACACACACACACACCTTGAAGGTGCTTCTCCCCACCGAAAGTAACCCAGTTAAACTCCCACAGGTGCTGGGCCCACAGGCCGACTGTATCTACAATCCCTCATTAACTCTTCCCAGGTGATTCTAGAGCAGTGGTTCTCAACCGTCCTAATGCTGTGACCCTTTGCTACAGTTCCTCATGCTGTGCTGACCCCCGCCATAACATTTTTGTTGCTACTTCATAACTAATTTTGCTACTGTTATGAATCGTATGAAAATATCTGTGTTTTCTGATGGTCTTAGGCAACCCCTGTGAAAGGGTCCTTTGACCCTCCCAGGAGTCCGGATCCACATGTTGAGAACCACTATTCTAGAGTATTCTGCTCACAATAAAACTCACGGCGGCACAGCAGGATTCTCTCGGTGTTTTATGGAGAGAATGAAAAACTTAGTCTGATGAGGCTATTGGGCAGAAATACAAAACCTCATCCTTTAAATCTCAGAAGAAAGACACAATTACAGTTTAGGTGCACATCGAGGTAAAACGCCAGCAGTGTCTACAATGGACATGGAGAGCAGTGGGAGGCCAGGCTTCCTGGAGGAGGCAATGTTCCTTAGGAGCTTATGTGAGGCTGTGGAGAGTCCCATGAACTGAAGAGGTGAGGCCACTGAAGGGGAAAGAGGCAAGCCTGCTCCTCCAGGCCGCCTGTCGGGTTTTCCCTCCTGCTGAGTGGTGAGGGATGGGAGAGCAAATAGAAGGCAACATCACCTGCCTTGGATCCCGCGCCCGAGGCGAAACCAGAAGTGGTTACCTTTGTCCCTGGGTTACCTACCTCTGACTTTTCTTTACCTTATGGATTTCCAAGAGATGGCCTATGGAAGCCCAGGTTGTCCTCGAACTCTCCGTGTAGTGAAGGCTAACTTTGAACCCCTGGTCTTGCCTTCACCTAAGAGCTGGGATGGGGCACCACACCTGGCTAACTTGTTTCGTTAATGCTGTTTTTGTTTTGTGTAGTACTTGGGGGGGTTGAACCTGGGGCCTTATTTGTGTGACACAAAAGCGTGCGCGCGCACGGACACAGACACAGACACACACACACACACACACACACGCACCCCTCCAGTTTGGTTTGTTGTTTTTAATGCAGTGAGGAACTGAGGGCCTCTACTTACTCAAACAGGCCTCGGCTGGGCTAACCTTTCACAGTCAAATGTGGTTTCCCTGCAGGCCTGAGCTAACACTCCCGTGCTTTTGGATGGTGGGAAAGAGCTGAGGAGTTGGTTTGCCTTCAACTAAAGAAAGGTGAGCAGTTGCGTAGACTCATGGTTTGCCTTCACCTGGGGAAAGGAGAGCGGTTGTGTAGACATATCCCACTACCTAAGCGTCTTTTTTCACCGCTCTCTTCCGAGTTAAGGAGGAGCACCACATCCACTGTTGCCACAGTGCCGCCCCATTCCAGCAGTCGAAAGGGAGAAGCTGGTCAAAGGCACCGAGTTTTTATGGGCTACTAGGGCAGGTAGAGAACCCCAGTGCAGCGGCGGCCGGTTGCCAGGAGGCAGCCTGGAGTGGCAGCCACCGCCCCTCTTCTTTCTGGGTGACTCTCCACCCGTCTCGGAGAGCTGCGGCGGCGGTGGGGGTTGGGGACTGGCCTGGCGTCCCGGAACAGCTGCAGCGGGCGCTGGGCCCGTCTGGAATGCGGGAGCAGGCTGCGCACCAGGACTTTTATGGAAACTTGCTGCTGGCGCGCCGCGGCCAGAGGGCTCAGGGTGGCTGGAGCAGCGTGGGCAGCGCGCAGAGCCGGACGCGCAGGAGCAGCGGGAGCAGCGGTGCGGCGCCCCGGCGGCAGGCGGGTAGGAGGGCTGGGTGGGGCGGACACGGCGGGGCTCCGGGCCGGCGGGGAGCAGTGCGCTCGGCCGGGCCGGCCTCAGCTGCGGGGAGCCCGGGGGGTGGGGGGTGTCCCTGACCAGCTTCTGTTCCACCTGCATCTGGACGGCTGAGTCTGGGCGAGAGCGTCCCCAGGGAGCCGAGTGTGTGTCCACTCCTCCGTCGGGGACCCTCAGGGTCCGAGCGGGTGAGTTCACTGTGGCACCCAACACGTGCCCACCGCGGTCTCCGCCAGCACTGGCTGTGGTTTTAAAGAAATTGCTGATGGGTCCCCGTGGAAACTGGGGAACGAGGGATTTATAGCCTGCCATCCCCGGTCTCCAGATTGCTCCCCATCGCCAAGACTGGGATATGCTTGGAGGTTGAGCTGCTAGCTCTAGGAGTCAGTGAAGACACCGTGTGAATAAATTGTGAGATGTTCAAGTGCAATGTATGCATAATATATATACATACACACGCGTATGTTTGTGTGTGTGAAAGAGAGAGTGAGTGAAAAATGATCAAGCTGAGAGGTTAGGTGATACGCATTTTATTTTTAAGGCCACAATGTGGTCAAGGAGTTGAGCGTAGATAATGTGGTAAAAATAGCATATGGTACGCCCTCACAAGTGACTGCCCTTGGAAAAAGACAGGCAGGCAGAGAAAAGAAGCCACTGACCACCCCTCTGACCAAAGTGACGGACGGACATTCCTCAACCAAATTTTGTTAATGAGTTTATACAACAAGGGCCTATTGCGCGAGTCACAGCAGAAGTATGTCTCGATGAAACGAACTCACATTTTTAGAGTGGCTTGGTCACACGAAATTGAACCAACTACCTACAAGTTTCCCCAGTATTGTCTTATAGGTTAAACTGCTGCTATAAGACAATTCAAACCGCATCTCTGATTTTTTTTCCGTTTTGGGGTGTTTGTATGGGAAAAGCACATATTAATTAAGGGAAGTCTTTTCTTTTCTTGGGGAGGGGGCTGTAGTACATAGACTGATGTAGCTGGTTCCTGCTAGGCTAGCGCTCCTGCCACTGAGTTGTTTCAGATCCCTCTTTTTGTTTTTGATACAGGATCTTATTAGGTTGTCCGGGCTAACCTCGGACACACTCTGTAGTATAGGCAGGACTGTGATCCCCCTGTCTCAGCCTTCAGAGTAGTTGGAATTACAGGCCTGTACCCTCAGACCCAGCTCAGCATTCTGTCTCTTGCCTGATGCTTCTGAGGAATCATTTAAAGAGAAATGTGTGCAATTTTGAATTTTACCTGCAACAGTTGACTTAGAGAGCAGAATGCAAAAACTGCAACAAAATTATTTTAAATCTTGTTTTCCTTCTAGCAGCTTTTGATGCAATCCGGTTTTAATAGATTTAATAGATTTCCAGTGATGCTGAGTGAGGAGCAATTTTTTCCTGCTTACCTTAAAATGGAATCTGTGCTATTTTAGAAAATTTGACATGTAAGGCTGATCACTGTCAAAATGTATGTCATCTTGAGAAGACTATATTTAGCATCAGGCGAGGAATGCGTTATCTGGGTTTCACTTGAAGCTTTTAGGTTAGAGCTGCATTTGTGAGCAGCATGGAAACTGTGTGTGTACATTTGGGAGAGATTAACCGCAGATTTAGCTCGCTTAGACCGAAGTTTCTGAAATGATAGTCTCCATTTGTGGGGAGAGAGCTCTGTTATCTTTGAAACTCCTAAAAGAATATAAAATATTTAAAAACTGCATCAGTTATAGAGGCCTCCGAGAGTGAAGACAGGGTGACTGTAAAACAGCGGACCATGTGGCATGCATGCCTGTGTGTTTATAGAAGTCTCTCAGTGTCCTGTCGTTATGTAGCTATACACAAAGCATCTTGGTTCCCTTTATAATTCAGAGGGGAAGACTTGCTTCTGACCAACAACCGCAGGTGGCTGCTCTTGTTGGACCACTCTGGTTGACATCACCTGTGTATTTTCTTTCATAGTCTTTCTTCTGGTTTTATTAGTTACATAGTGCATACATTTGAAATTGCTTTTTAAACATCCACAGTGTAGTGTGGCTTATCTCATGGTAGTGTTTTTATTATTATTATTTTATGAGTGTTTTGATTCCGTGTGTGTGTGTGTGTGTGTGTGTGTGTATGTGTATGTGTGCACTGTGTGCATGCAGTGCACACAGAGGCCAGGAGAGGGTGTCCAAACCCCTGGAACTGATATCTGCAAGGGGCAAGAGCTCTGGCTGCAGAGCCATCTCTCCGGCTCCTGGTAGTGTACATTTTGGTAATGGTGCTATTCTGGGGACAGAAATCAGTGCCTTGCACATTCCTGGCCTGTACCTGGCTGCTGCCTGTGGCAGTGTGCTTTCTACACTTTAAAATGGGTGGATTTAAACTCAGAAATCTATGTTAATTATACATCATAATTATATCAAAAAATAAGATGCACACGTGCACACATACACACACACACACACACACACACACACACACACATACACACACACACACACGGGTGAAATGATGATGAAAGATGGGCGTGGTGGTTCCCAACTTCCATCTCAGCACTCAAGAGGCAGAAGCAGTGGATCTCTGAGTTTGAGGCCAGCATGGTCTGTACATTAAATTCCAGGATAGAGACATTGCCTCAAAAAAAAAAAAAAAAAAAAAAAAAATCCTTCTTGGGTAGTGTTAGGGAGTGGGGAGAGGAAGCTAACACTCGTGGACTGACTGTCAGTTTGTCACCCAGAGCAGGAGATGGCTATGAATTGGCAGCTAAAACAAGTCAAATGATTTTAACTGTGGAATTTAGAAAGCATGGGATGGGATTTTGGCAAGGAAAGTCCCTCCTAGGACCTCTAGTCCTTGTTCTATTTATTTCTTGTGTGTGTGTGTGTGTGTGTGTGTGTGTGTGTGTGTGTGTGTGTGTGTGTGTGTCCTCTAGAGCTTGCTCATTGTCTCACCTCTGTTAATGCCACACAGCTGGAGTCCGTCATCTGAGGAGAGCCTGGATTAGGTTGGCCTGTGGGAAAGCCTGTGGGTCATTATCCTGACTACTGAAGCAGGAGGGCCCATCCACGGTAGGCAGGTGCTCCTGGGCTGAGTAAGAATGCTAGCAAAGCGTATGTCCTCAGTGGTTCCTGCCCTGACTTCCCTCAGGGAGGGTTTGTGAGCTGGACAGGGAAGCCAAATTCACCCTTTCATTCCCAAGTTGTTTTCAGTCAGAGTGTTTTATCACAGTAACAAAATGAAACTTAAAATGGCCATGAAAGGAAGTACTTATTATTCTATCCTGCTACCCCCAACTTGTTAGTCAGGATTCCAGGTCTTCCCATCCAAACTGTGGTCCTGGGCGAAGACTGTCTTCCATTTTAGATAGGGTAAGGAAGCCCAAACCTCTCCAGCAGTTACCACAACTCCCAAATTTCCTGAAGGCAATTTCCTGTCCCGGTTTCTGATTGTGATGTTGTGTTGGGTAAAAGCCCAGCCCATTTTATTTCTGTCACCATAGGGGAGTAGTTGTCTTGGGGCTCCTTCACAGAGTTACTCACGTCTCGATCGGCTGATCGTGGATCCTATCGCTGTCCCGTTACCTCTACCATCTGTCTACTTGCTCGTCTGACATGAGCTTGTCCTGTGTCCTGAGTGGTGTGAAAACACTCACAGCATTGAGGGGCACATGAGGTTTACTTATCAGGGCTCCAGAGTGGTAAAAACATGTTGAAAAGTATCACAGCCACGTAAAGGCCGATGTTACAGTTATTACAGAAGAATGTTAAAACAAGCTGCAATTGGTTTTATGGGGGGTTTTGGACATCTCACTATTTTACAATATGTCCTAATTCACATTAGCTGTCAATTTGATGGCCTGGAGTCACCTGGAAAGAGTTTCAGTTGAGTTTTCCTCACGTCAGTCTGTGGACATGTCTGTGCGAGGATTGTCTTAACTGACGTAGGAGGACCCAAGTGTATAAAGCTAGCTGGGATTGAGAGAGTCGAGACAAGGTCCCAGGCTGTCCTGGGCGGTATAAAGCTAGCTGTGATTGAGAGAGCCAAGACAAGACGGCAGCAGTGTTTGCTGTTTCTACCTCCTGCCCAGCTTGAGTTCCTGCTCTAATTTTCTTTGGTGACAGTGACCCGGAAGTGTAAGCTAAGTTAAATCTTTTCCTGCCTGCATTGCTTTTGGTCAGTGTTTTATTGAAACAACAGGACACCAGAATGGTAAGACCTGATTTCCTCCTTTTGAGCTGTGATGAAGTATATGGCAGGTTTCATATGTGCCTTCATTTTACTTTATAATTGTTCTTTTACCAAGAGAGGGTCTTAGCTATAAAGTCCTTAACCAGCCTTGAACTTATGGTTTCTGCCTCAGGCTTCTAAGTGCTGAACAAGGCATGCACTGTCCTACCTGTTTGTAATTTTTACTAATTAAATATGAAACGGCTATATTTATGGTCTTTTTCTGTTTACATTTGAGCCAGGGTCTTGTTGTGTAGCCAAGGCTAACCTGGAGGTAACAGAGTCATCTGCCCTGGCTTCCCAGGTGCTGCAGTTATAGACCTGCACTACCTATGGCTATCTAAATGTATGGTTTTTTGTACAAGTGAAAAATGATCACACATTTAGTCTTAAATTTTGTGACATTCAAAACAATTTTGTTGTGTTTTTCAAAGAGTTAGATTTTAACATTTATTTGTATATAGTTAAGTTTTTCATTTAAAACTTCCTTGAAAAGTTGAGACAAACCCATGCATGACAGTAGATACTTTGATCTCAACACTGGGAGGATGAAGGAGTATTGAAAGGCCAGGTCTAATCTACAAAATGAGTTCAGGCCAGCCAGTGCTACAAAGTGAGACCATGCCTCCAAAATAAATAAAAAAGGAAAGAAGTCACAGGCCAGCCTGGCTGACATAGCAAACCCCTGCATCCCTGCATCCAAGGGAGGTGGGGCCCTGAGACAAGGGATGTCTGTGGCTGCCATTGTCTGGACAGTTTTGTTCTCCTAAGAACAATTAGCAATACAATCACAGTACATAATGGACAGCTATGATTTCAAATTCTTTGTGTGCATTATTTGCTGTTCTTGAAATGCTTTGGTTGCATATCTAAAACGTGAAAGGAAATGAAACAGAGAAAACCAAGAGGTTAAAATGTAGGTCCAGCCGGGCGGTGGTGGCGCACGCCTTTAATCCCAGCACTCGGGAGGCAGAGGCAGGCGGATCTCTGTGAGTTCGAAGCCAGCCTGGTCTACCAAGTGAGTTCCAGGAAAGGGGCAAAGCTACACAAAGAAACCCTGTCTCAAAAAATCAAAAAAAAAAAAAAATTAAAAAAAATAAAAT